CTTTTGCTGTGGCCCACACTGACTTTTAGGTCATAGAACATTCCCTTCTGGTTAATTCCACTTTTCTTCATTTTTTTTTCCTTTCATTTTTTTTTCTTTTGTTCAGCTATGTTCAATTCTCAGAGACTGCCTGAATGAGTCCTTGTGATTTTCTTTCTTCTTCAGAAGTGGCCTGCCATTGCGTCCTTTCTAGGGCTGAGAGAAAGTGACTGGCCCAAGGTTACACTGTGGCTTTGTGCCTAAGATGGAATTAGAACTCACAGTCTCCTGGTTCCTGTCTTGAATGTCTTAACCACTACACCAAACTGGCTCTCTTGCATTTGTTTTTTATTAATCTTATTTATATGAGCTAGTCCTTAATTTATTATACCTTTTCCCCAGTTAATTTCTAGTGTTTTCCCTCTTTTGACAGATATTAACATTGTGAAGTTGAGTTTTGACTATTTTTGTACTTTAGTACTCAGTTTCTTTTTCATTAACTTATAGCAGAAAAGGGAATCTCTGATTATCTTGCAACATCCCACTCCACATGGCTCCATAACAGAGCTGAGAATAGCTATCTCTCAACAGTTCCTAAGTCACAAATTCTCCATTTTTCCCCCTCTGAAATTTAAATTGCAAACTGGGAAGGGCGTCATCCCAAATGCATTAATTTCTGAATGCATGCAGGAAAATCTAAATTCAGGTTACCGTTTCATTTCTTAGGGTATGTATTTTAGATGGTACAGAATAACCCATTGCAAGGCAAATAATTCTTTCTTGCCCAAATTTCTGTAATCCACTGGTTTCAGATTGGCAAAAAATATATATATGTAAAACTTTCAGAAGAGAGTCTTCCGTGATTTGAAATGGGACTCAGAGATTCACAGGCTGTTCCATATTGCTTCTGCCTATGAAATGTTGGAAGATGTAACAGAATAAACAATAAATAAGTCTATGGCACAAATATTGTATATGTAGCCAGTTTTCTAGCTCAAATCTTTTAAGCATCCAAGGCTGCATTTTTAAATCCATTTATTGAGAAGAAATCCAGTAAATTTACTTGGAAATAGAGTAGGCTGAAATTTAATTATTTTAAGAATGTTTAAATTACAGACCTTTTATAAACCTTTCTTCCCCAAATCTTAACAATAGCTTGTAATGAGGCATTAGAGTTGCTGGATTCTAAACAGGCAGATAATTCTGTTGTTGGAGATTTCTTTCCATTCCTCCCTGGCAGTGGGGATTTAAAAAAAATATCTTAGTTCCTACTTAGAAAATAAATTATGTAAAAAAAAAAAAAAAGCATTGGTCAGATTTAGCAGATTTCTAATAAAACGCCTTAAAAAAAAGATTCACAAATGGTATCTTTTAATTGTATTTTTATGGAATCTATTTTCAAGCATAATGGCTTATATTTGGAGGTCACAATAAACCCATTTCCCCAAGCTGTCTGGGATGACATTCCTAAAAAAAAATCTTCAGTGGCTGGAAAAAAATGGGAGCCAAAGTCTAAATTTAATTTTCATAGCTTATTATAACCTAAATGAGTCAAAGGGAGCTTTAGCTTTGAACACCCTCCCTTCCTGTGACAGGGCAAGGAATTTAGAAAATTTTGCCTCTGCTATTGGTTGACCACAGCTTCCTCTGTTGGCCAGATTAATTATGATTAGTTTAACCAGGTTCAAAAAAATTTTTTTGTTTGACGTTGCATTGTTCATTAATCGAAGACTGCTGCTAAAGACACGATACAACTCATTTAACTAAATACTGAAGCAGAGCCTTTTTCTCAGTGGCATAGTTCAACCAGTTTGCTGAGTACGCACTTTGTGTGCGCGCATTTTTCATGCGGGTGCTTTACCTTTAAAAAAACCCATTTTCAACTCAATTACTTACCTTCTACTGTAGCCCCTAGGCAGTGGTGGGATTCAAAAACTTTTACTACCAGTTCTGTGGGCGTGGCTTGGTGGGCATGGCCATGTGACTGGGTGGGGCATGGCTTTACTTCTTTTGCAGCCCCCACCTGTTTTGGGGAGATTCCTAGCCTCAGAGGAGCCTCTGGGGGGCGTTTTTGCTCCCCTAAAGCTCCTCTAAGGCTCAGGAAGAAAAGGAACAGAGCATGGGAAGGGCGCACAGCACCCCTCCAAGCTCTGTTTTGGGAGCTTCCTAGCCTCAGAGGAGTCTCGGGGTGTGTGTGTGTGTTTTTGCTCCCCTCCAAAGCTCAGGAAGGCAAATAAATATCTTCATGTGATCTTGATTCTATCTTCATATGATCTTGATTCTTGATTACTTAGGGCAAAGGTTCAAAACTTCTTTTCTGTACTAAAATGGGATCTGTTTGTCAGTCTTCGTGAATGGGTTGAACACCTGAACTGTTTGCAAAGGATTAAGCACTTTGTGAAGGAATGCTGGCATTTTTATAGTGTGAAAGGCTGAAGGAAGCTGAGAGGGTCAACTCTCCATATGCTTCACTTGATCGCTTCTCATCCTTTTCTGAGAGTATATTAGAAGCAACACTAGTGACTGAGATTTTGCGAATGCCTTTTTGCCTTCTCTGAATATATAGCAAGGAGGGATGATTATTACTAGGGACAATTATGCTGACCGGTACTGTGTGCCGCTGTTTAACAAACAGCTTGGAGTTCTAATTTTCTGCAGTGCCAACTTTGTAGGTACCATTTATACTCATTACCGTATATTGAGAAAGTTATTAAAAATTCTTAAACTTGTTGAAGCTTTCTGTGACACCTTCCCTGGCTTTTAATTGGGTTTTATCGAGTCTTCAAAGAGAGCTCTTTTAAAATAATCAGTGTCCTTTTGTCTCTTTCTTTTGCCCAGTTGCAAAACGAATTTAGCAACGGAGCTAAAAACGAAGCAGGTTTTGCCTAAATATTGAATGAATTCGCTCGACAAGTAAAGACGATAATTGATGGTCTCTTTAGATGGATGCCCTGTTTAAATGACGGAGGAACAATTGCTTTGGAACAGAAGGGTTAAATCTTAATCTCTGAGGTTTGCGAAGCTGCTAGTCTCCTTAAAATTTAATATACCTCGTTAATGCTTACTTGCAAACACTGAAGGATTTTTATGATTATAATCATGTGTTACAGCACCTAGTACTGTTTCTAAGTCGCATACTAATCAGCTTAATGAGATATTACCACACTTTTTGTTGACTAAAGCAAAATCCTTTTTATTGTTCGAAAGCTTGTCCTTTACTTTATTTTTCCCCCAAACATTATCTTGTTTTATTGTTTACCAGTAAATATCATGCCATCTATCCACCCAACCCCCCTCCCCAGAACACCAGTCAAATCATAAAACCATATTTCTCATTGGAGAATGTGGAATTTATTGAATATACTTAATGGGACTGAAAGTTTTATAAATGGATTTCTATTTTTGTTTCTTTAAAAGGGGCAGTGGGCAAGAGGCATTGCCGTTCCCTTTTATATAGATCAGCGAATGTAAACAGGTGTGGCATCCCAAGAAGGGGCCTGGTGACGTGGAAAGCTTAATGTGACTTATTTAAGAACTAGATAGTCAATCAATCAGAATAGAGCTGGAAGGGACCTTAGAGGTCTTCTAGTCCAACACCCTGCTCAAGCAGGAGACCCTATACCATTTCAGACAAGTGGCTGTCCAGTCTCTTCTTAAAAACCTCCAGTGATGAAGCAACCACAACTTCTGGAGGCAAGCTGTTCCACTGGTTAATTGTCCTCACTGTTAAGAAGTTTCTCCCTAATTCCAGGTTGTTTCTCTCCTTGATTAGTTTCCATCCATTGTTTCTTGTCCTGCCCTCTGGTACTTTGGAAAATAAATTGACCCCCCTCTTCTTTGTGGCAGCCCCTCAAATACTGGAATACTGCTATTTTGTCCCCTCTAGTCCTTTTTTTCTCTGGACTATCCAAACCTGAATCCTGCAACTGTTCTCATATGTTTCAGTCTCCAGGCCTTCATCATGTTAGTTGCTCTTCTTTGCACTTTTTCCACAGTCTCAACATCTTTTTTGTAATGTGGTGACCAAAATTTGATGCCGTATTCTAGCTGTGGCTTTATAAAGCAGTATTAATATTTTACGTGATTTTGATTCTATGCCTTTGTTTATACAACCGATTAGCTTTTTTGGCTGCTGCTGCACACTGCTGACTCATATTTAAGTGATCGTCCACTAGGATTCCAAGGTCCCTCTCACAGTTAATGTATCTGAGCCAAGTTTCACGTAATCTGTACTTGTACCTTTGGTTTTCCTGCCCAGTGTAAAATCTTACTTTTCTCCACATTAAATTTCATTTTGTTGGAAGAGGCCCATTGTTCAAGTCTGTCAAGATCTTTTTGGATCCTTAGCTTGTCTCCTGTCAGCTTAGTGTCATCTACAAATTTGATGAGTTCCCCTTCTATTCCCACATCTAAGTCATTTATGAAGATATTGAAGAGTACTGGGCCTAAGACCCAACCTTGTGGTGCTCCCCTGATCACTTCCCTCAGTGTAGATGTAGAACTACACATTGAGTACAGTTTGTCAGCCAGTTACAAATCCATCTGGTGTTGATGCTTTCTATCCCACATTTTTTTTAGCTTACCAAGAAGTAGGTTGCTGTCTACTTTCTCAAATGCCTTGCTAAAGTCTAAATATATTATATCCACAGCATTTCACTGGTCTACTAATTTAGTCTCTTTGTCAAAGAATGAAATAAGTTTGGTTTAGCATGATCTGTTTATAACAAACCCATGCTGGCTACAAGTTATAACTTTATTTGGGAATAACTTTATAAAGGGTAATGTGTTTGTTTTAAAAGCCTAATTAATCCAAGCAATCAAAAAAATGTGCAGGGTGATGAAGGCCTTGTATAATTAAGACAAAACAATCACGATAGTACACCATGCGCTTGACATTTAATATACATTCATTGAATATTGACTGCAGGAACATTGCATGTGATTTTTGTGCCTTTGTAGCTCTGCTGATGAAATTGGTCTACTTGAAAATCTAAATTTTCCCTTCTTTTTTTTTGGCAGGAATGGAGGAAGCTAGTCTGTGCCTTGGTGTTTCTTCAGCAGGACCAGAAGCCGAGGTCCACCTCAACAGCTCCCTGCTCAATGGCCAGTATTCAATGAGTCAGAAGTTGCACCAGATCACTTCCCAGCTCACTCATGCCTTTCCTGAGCTTCAGTCCAGACAGAGCCCTGAGGAAAAGGCAGTGGCCCTTCTAGAAGACAAGAGCCACGTTTCATTAGCCAACCAGCCTATCAGCAGTCAGATGGCCCTCTTGGCCAACCAACTCAACCGGGAAGTCGATACCAGTTTAAACGGGAGGGTAGATCTACAGCAGTTCTTAAATGGACAAAACCTAGGCATTATGTCTCAGATGAGCGACATAGAGGACGATGCTAGGAAGAACAGGAAATACCCATGTCCCCTGTGTGGGAAGCGCTTTCGGTTTAACAGCATCCTGTCCCTACACATGCGCACCCATACTGGGGAGAAACCATTTAAGTGCCCCTATTGTGACCACAGAGCAGCTCAGAAGGGAAACTTGAAGATACACCTGCGTACTCACAAGCTTGGAAACCTGGGCAAAGGCCGTGGGAGGGTCCGAGAAGAGAACCGGCTCTTGCATGAGCTGGAAGAACGTGCCATCCTGAGGGACAAGCAGATGAAAAGCAGCCTCCTGCAACCCAGGCCTGATGTCAAAGCCCACCCTCACACTCAGCCCATCCCTCTGACTAATTGCAACCTGCCCATGTCCACAAACCACCACGCCCCTGATATCTCGAACCCGGTTCCCTCTCCGAAACCTGCCAGCGTCCAGGAAGAAGTGGTTGCCACGGCTGCTGGGTTTAGGTGTACTTTTTGCAAAGGGAAGTTCAAGAAGCGAGAGGAGCTGGACCGGCACATCCGGATCCTCCACAAGCCTTACAAGTGTACGTTGTGTGACTTTGCGGCATCCCAGGAGGAGGAGCTGATCAGCCACGTGGAAAAAGCCCACATCACTGCCGAGTCCGCTCAGGGCCAGGGTTCCAATGGAAACGGGGAGCAGGCGGCCAATGAATTCCGGTGCGAAGTGTGTGGCCAGGTCTTCAGCCAAGCCTGGTTCCTGAAAGGCCACATGAGGAAGCACAAGGACTCCTTTGAGCACTGTTGCCAAATCTGTGGGAGGCGCTTCAAGGAGCCATGGTTCCTCAAGAATCACATGAAGGTCCATCTGAACAAGTTGTCAGTGAAGAACAAACCCCCCAGTGACTCTGAAGTCCACATGCCTGTGGGGAGCATGTCCCAGGAAGCTCACGCCAACCTGTACTCCAGATATTTGTCCTGTTTGCAGAGTGGTTTCCTGCCCCCAGACAAAGCTGGCCTCGGTGAGCAGAACCAGGCCTACGGTAAAGGAGATTTGCCCATGAAAGAACGCGAAGTCCTGGGCAAGCTCCTGTCTCCTATTGCTAGCATCGGGCATAGTCTTGCTGAAGGGGACAAACATTCCTTATTGGGTTGTCTTAACCTTGTGCCTCCACTCAAATCGAGCTGCATAGAGAGGCTGCAGGCTGCCGCCAAAGCTGCTGAGATGGACCCTGTAAACAGCTATCAAGCTTGGCAGCTCATGGCAAGGGGAATGGCCATGGAACATGGTTTTCTGACAAAAGAGCACCAGATTCAGCGGAGCCACGAAGACCCTTTGGCAAACGCTGGAGTTCTGTTTGATAAGGAGAAGCGGGAGTATGTGTTAGTAGGAGCAGATGGTTCCAAGCAGAAAATGCCTGCTGATTTGGTTCACAGCACTAAAATGGGCAGTCAGAGAGACTTGTCAAACAAACTGGACCGTTTGGAAGGGGGCAGAGATTTCCTGCCTCACGGTATGAATCCGGGGCTCGACTACAACATGCAGAGTCATGGCGGTGCCAAGGAAAAGCCCACAGAGTGTCCTGACTGCGGGCGAGTTTTCAGAACCTACCACCAAGTGGTGGTTCATTCCAGGGTCCACAAGAGGGACAGGAAGGTGGAAGATGAGATCCTCCAGGGGAGCATCGATGAACGGCGTGGGTCTGGAAGCGATCAGGAATCCCAGTCCGTCAGCCGATCGACCACTCCCGGCTCCTCCAACATCACTGAGGAAAGTGGGATGGGAGGAGGCCTCTCACAGACCGGAAGCGCTCAGGAAGACAGTCCCCATCCATCTTCACCTTCTTCCTCAGGTACGTCCGCTTTCCATGTTCTGTCTTCCCTCTTTGAAGGGCTCCCAAACTGCACCCATCGCAGACAATTGATTTGCTTAACAATCCCCATGTTCACTTAACAACCACAAATCGCAAATCGCTTACCGACTGCTGCCAAAAGGTTATAAAATCATGCGGAGCAATGTGGTGACCCACTTAATGACTAGGACAACCTAAGACTGTGATTCTTGATTCATTTATGGCCCTAAGCTGAGGATTTTCTGTATTATATTGCATTTATCTTATGGTACTAATTTGGACAAATGCAAACCTATCCATCTGGTCTGTCTGCACAGAATAATTTCTCCTCCTCTAGCCTCACCAGCCACATCATCACTCTTGTTTCTGTTTTGATAAATCCTTACATCGTGAGATACAGTTCATTTGTATGGACAAACGTGGGGTACATTTAGGGCTGTGAGCCCCCAATTCTGAATATGCAAAGACTGGGAATCATAGGAAGGATTCATTAGAAAGAAAGTGACTTCCCATTGACGTTTTTTGTTTCCTGCAATCATTTAAAACCTTATAAAATCATGTTTTAAAAATATCCCATTGGTTTTAGCGTGAACCCGCTGTGCATGAAAGAGCAAAGCAAAGTAATATTTCATTTAAGCCTTCAACAATATTGAGCCTTATTGGCAAATGTGTGTGTGTTTTTTCTTATGTTTTCATGGGTATTTATATGTATGGTATTTAGCTTTATTTATATATATGTTTGTTTGTATATATTTATATTTTTTAAAAGAGAAAGGTAAGATTTCTGGCCTCATCTCTCATTTCTGAGCTCTTGAACTAATGGATAGTAAATTGAAAGTTATATCTCCAGCCCTTTTTATAACAAAAGCACCTTGCTAATATTGTAATCATTCTGCAGACCTAACAACGGAGGAAATCATGCCATAACAAATACTCTGTTACTAATGGCAACATTGATTTCTTCAATCAGCCATTAAGTCTAGAAAATGAAAGACAGTTCGAGAGGCCTTTAGGCATTACATTGCCCACTGTTAAAGATCTGATAGCAGGCTGTTCTTTTTTTTTTGGTGCTTACCCCCACCCTGGCTTTCAATAAATATTTTAGCATTGAAGGCAATCCACTGTTACAGTTATTAAGTAGATGCCAGTTTATTTTTGCCGCTCTTGTCATGCTCCAGTATCCTCCATTTCTGAGACCAGATTTATATAAAAGAGTTAGTTTGGGGAGGTGGCTTATAATAAATCTGTAAGCTCCCTCCCCCACTTCTTAAGACCTGTAAATCTGCCCTCTGCATTCCACAAATTCCTATGGTGATTAACACGGTTGTTTAAATACCCAGGAAACCCTCCAACAGGTCTCAGCATCCTGGCCTCCTGTACAATATATTTGTCATCAGAGACATGCAGAAATCCTATTCAGGAATGAGAGGACTGGGTTTTGTACTATCTAGTCGCTTGGATTGCTTTGTTGTTGTTGTTGTTGTTAGTTGTGAAGTCATGCTTGACCCATTGCGACCCCATGGACAACGTTCCTTCAGGCCTTCCTGTCCTCTACCATCTTCTGGAGTCCATTTAAGCTCACGCCGACTGCTTCAGTGACTCCATCCAACCCCCTCGTTCTCTGTCCTCCCCTTCTTCTTCTATTGCCCTGAATCTTTCCCAGCATTAGGCTCTTCTCCAGTGAGTCCTTCCTTCTCATGAGGTAGCTGAAGTCTTTGAGTTTCATCTTCAGGATCTGGCCTTCTAAAGAGCAATCAGGGTTGATCTCCTCTAGCACCGACCCGGTTTGATTGCCTTGCAATCCAAGGGACTCGCTGGAGTCTTCTTCTCCAGCACCAGAGTTCAAAGTCCTCCATTCTTTGGCACTCAGCCTTTCTTATGGTCCAACTTTCACAGCCATACATTGCAACTGGGGAAACCATAGACTTGACTATACAACTTTTGTTGGCAGGGGGATGTCTCTGCTTTTTAGCATGCTGTCTAGATTGCTCTAAGGGGATTCAAAATCCAGTAGGAAAAGATTGCTCTGCCATCCAGGGAGAGTTTGCCCATGTTTTGAACATATGAGTCGAGTGGATGCAGACGCATGATTTTGCTGTCCCAGCATTGGTGTCCCAGAAGTTGCCCAAAGAATTAGAATCAGAATAGAGCTGTAAGGGACCTTTGAGGTCTTCTAGTCCAGCCCCTGACTCAAACAAGAGATCCTATAACATCCCAGAGAAGTGGTCACCTGATCTCTTCTTTAAAAAAAAACAAAAAAAAAACAACCCAGTGTAGGAGCAATGGAGCTGTTTAAATTGCCAAGGTTGAGAAACACTACTTTAGAAAAAGTAAGAAAAACAAACAAACGGAGCCTTTGGCTATTTTTATTTGACTTTCTTATGAAGAAAATACAAATGCCCTCTCAGCTGGGCTCTTTTCTTGACTCTGTTCAAAGAGATCCTTAAAATCTGTCTAATTTGATTAAGGCTTGGTGGGTAAACCCCCAAAATGGCCTTTGGGGGAGGAAACTCATTTTTTGGGGTGGAAACTCATGCTTCTTCTGTTCCTTTCTGGTTTAATCTGGACCAGAACAATATTCAGTTTTGAGCATCAAAAATACCAATCAAATATATTGTTTCCCTCCCTGTAACTATCAGGCTTTTGAGATAGTCCAGATAAGAAGCACCAACCATGAGTACTAGCACTACCTCCGTTGTAAGGTTTCTCCAGCCTTCCCTCTTTTGGACTCAACTGTAATTTATCAGAGCAATGTCTAGGTTGGATTCTTCCTCCTGTCTCCCAAGGTCATTCTCTCACGCCATTACAGTAGCTCAGGGATGGGCAGCTGTGCTTGACAGATGTTTTCAATCTCCAATTTCCATCATTCTTTGCCAGTGATGAGAGGTGCCACAGCAGCTGCCTTTAGATGTTGTCTACTGCTGGGTAAAACCATAGATACCTGGGCCACAGCAGTCTCCTGGCCAAATTAATGGTCTGTCCATCTATGAAATTACTTGCTTGCTACACAAGCCAAACACAGTCTTTAGATACAGAGAGAAGAAAACAACGGTAGGAATTTTCCTGACTGAATGTTTCCACTTCCTTTGCCTTTTTCAAAACTGGTCAAGTCCGCAACTTTCCGAGCCTGTGGTCCAGTGTCCATCAATGATTAGGAATGATTCTATGTTGCAAAGTTCCTAACCATACATGAAAACAATTCATGCACCTTTAATCTTCTTTTGTCTTTGGGAAATTAGAGAATATTTTGCCCTTTAAGTTCCCTCTGTTAAAAAAAAATACCAGCTGCATTTCTGGACCTTAATCAATTTATGAAATTTACCATTTGTAAAGATGGAAGACCAGAAAATTTAGCAACATTTATCCCATATTTGTAAACTTATATACTGAATTTAGTTTCCACTCATGTCAATTGGATGAATAATTTCTAATTGTTTTCCTTGTAGCCTCCGAATAGAAATGTAATATATGTACGATAAGTCATGTCTTAGATGCAGAATACCAGAGTTTTTATACCAACCTTTTTACTGCGCTCAATAATATGCTTTTAAATTTAACCTGGCTGACTACCTAATATTTCTTGGTCTGCTGCAAAATTCTAAAGAAACAGTTTTAAATTGTTGCAAAATGATTGCTACCTGTGGAAGATAAATCAGCAGAACACAAAAGAAGTCTTTATTCTCACAGTTAAAGAGAAATAGCCATTGGGACAGACATTAAAACATTACTACAAAAATAGTATTTAGCCAATGTCTCTAAGCCCACGACAGGTTTCAGAGCTTAATTTGCATCACTTGATTCCTTTTTTGTATGGTTGTTGTTGCAAACTGGGTCAGAGGGCCTGAGAAACTATTCTTTTTCAGATCTTAACCGAGGGATTCTTTTTTGTAAATTGGTGCTCTTAACATGATAGTACTTTCTGAATTCTTCATATTAAAAATAAAACCTTTTATACACGGTGCCTCTTAGAACAGGTCTCTAGAAGAAAGCTTACAATAAGTGGCAGAGAACGCTTTGTTATCTGATGTAATTCTTCACAAGGGAGGATTGGGAATAGAGTGGCTACTTTTTTTTTCTTTTTTGAAAAAAAAAAGTCTAGTTCAGGCTGAGAAGAAGAAAGGGTCAAGTTTGCAATCAAACAGTTATTGCAGAGATGTGTGACTGTCACTGGCTGCGCTAATGTGGTATGCAGCTGTTTGTTATGTGAGTAAAAGAATGTTTGAATCAGTGAACATGTGAAAACGGCTCCAGTGGACCAGAAAATGTGTTTGTTCTTTGACTCTGTAAATTGCCACGAACTAAACTGAAGAGCCACTACTAAAACCCGGACCTTTCAACAAATGAAGAGGTCATATTTTCTCTGAGAAAAATGGACAAAATTGGTCAGATAGATTATTTCCTTCTCTTGCAGACTTTGCTTGTTGTTGTTGTTGCTTGTACAAATTGCACTTGCTGTTGCTCTTTGCTCACGAGGCAGAGAGAAGCTCACACAAAATGTGAGCAACTTGTTGACTGTACCATTGTCTCTCTGACCAAAACCTCACCACTGAGGAGTAAATCCTATTGATTTCAATGAATCAGCATTGAACTAGTTGCCTGTTGAAGCTAGACAAGTTTTGAAAAGGGGTTCCTTGGGGGTAAATTTCACCAGATTATCCAGGTTTCCAGGACATGAACTGGGAATGTCTGAGATAATACAACTGCCTTTCCAGATCAGTCTTGAAGAGATAATCTCAAGATTATTTGCACCGTCCATCTCTCAGTCAAAATAAGTTAATGTTATGAACTTTGAAAGCTGTATATGCTGGATGGGATGCTTGTGGTGAAGGGGGAGAAATGGAGGCTACCATTGTGCTCATGTGCAGGAAAAGGCAGCTACTGTTTCTGGAATCTGTGGCAGGAACTCTCAGCCGACAGAGAACCACGTAGCCAAATAGACGGCAATTTCTCCAGGATTTTCTGCATAGGCTATTTTTTTTTTTTTTTTGCACAGGAATTGG